GTTGCCCTGGGGTTTAAGCAATCACATACCACTGTTGGCAAAGCTTGAAATTTTCTGGATGTATAATATCCCTACAATCCTAGTGAGGAGCTGTTATATTTGAGTTTACAAACTCTGTTAATTAAAAACAACAGTAGAAGTCTATTACTGGTCATGGTCCTTGAACTAGACTTGCCTTGAGGTTTCTGACTCAGAGATAATCACTCCCCTTTGGCCTTGTGTTCAAATTGAGAGCTCCCTTCTAGACCTGAAGTGGGAAACAGAACTAATCTGATACCTACCTCCAGTCTGTAGCTCAGTGCCCAATGGGAAAAGAGAATTTATTAACTCTGATGATAAGTAGATCCAGGGGTGGGTCCAGCTCTAGGTGTAGTTTGATCTTAAAGCTAAAATAGACCCTCAAAGCTTTGTCTCTTCTCCTTTTTCAGCTCTGCTTGCCTCATGTGGCCTTTGCCTGAATGAGGTTGTATCCATATGATAGGAAAGATAGCCTTTGGAAGCCTCAGATTCATATCCCTTCAACTTTGCAAATAGCTAAGAGGACATCTGTCTCCCCATATCAATCTGAGGCAATTCTGTGACTCATCTTGAGTTACATAGCCAGGCCTGTAGTCATTCATTTGGGGCATTCCAGCCAGCTTGAGCCAGGTGCCCACATTGCCCTGATGAGGGTGAAAGATGGGGCTGAGTATGATGATTGGAAGTTCTGTAGGGACTATATGGAGTGGGGTAAAATGCTTCGAAGGAATAGACGACAAAGACAGAAAAGTCCACAATGGAGAGTCAAGAGAAAATGAGGGCTAAATAGTGGGATACAGCCTGGGAAGTAACTCTGCATGAATTCCTGAGCATTTATTGTAAGGAACCTCCAATTTGCCTCTGAGTTTCCTAATGATCAAAGCAAGCCAAGAGGAAAACATGATCAGTGATGCAAACCAGATGCCAGCTGAGATCTCCAGGCCCAGGGGAGGTCCCAAGTGTGACCCAAGTTTTCTTGCCAGTTCCCAGGAGGCTTACTTTCTCAGGGTTCTTGATCCCACAAGGGGGAATCTGTTCCACACCATATGGCTTCCAGACAGGAGGCTTACCTTTTTTTTGGCGTCTACAAAAGATTTCACCCACACAAAGTAATTAATGAAGACTTTTACAGGAAAACAGGGTTGGACGGAGGGTGGTCTTCAAATGTCCTTTGCCTCCTGTGATGAGTTGAACTGTGTTCCCCGCAAAACGTATGTGTTGAAGTCCTAGCCCTCCGGTACCTCAGAATATGACTGTATTTGGAAATAGGGTCTTTAAAGATGAAGTTAAAATAGGTGGTTGGAGTGGCCCTATTCCAACATGACTGGTTGGTGTCTTTGGGACACAGACACGCATAGAAGGAAGACCATGTGAAGACACAAGGAGAAGGCGGCCATCTGCAAGCCAATGAGAGAGGCTTTAGAAGAGACAAATGCTGCCCACACCTTGATTTCGGACTTCTAGCACCCACAACTGCAGGAAGATAAATGTATGTTGTGTAAGCCACCCAGTCCATGGTGCTTTGTTACAGCAGCCCCAGCAAACAGTAAGCCCCTGTGCCACTGGCCTTCACCTCCCCCGTCATCTCACAGACACCTCTTCCTATTCCTCCCCTGGCTCCTTTCCTCCTTCTCAGAGGTCAAATTCCCCTCTTTGTCTCAATCTGTGTCTTACCCCGAGTTGCTTGTCCTATAAAAGCACCCAGTTCTTGTGTTTCTACCCCCATGCCTCCAGCTTATCAAAATATTTTCCCAAACAAGGACTGTTCGCTTCCTAAGAATTATTCTGCTACCAGCCATTAGGATCAAACTATGTCCCCTTGTTTTAGCACTGTGCTTCTGATGAAGAAAATCCCTGTGTGAGACAAGTGTCCCTACAATCCTCACATAAGGGAAATGGAGTCGGGTTCAAGGCATCTGCTACAACATGCCCACAATAAGCCCACTGATCTCAAATACATGGCAGAAGGCCTAGTGCCCAAGAGCAGGGATAATGAAAGCAAGTGCGATACTTTGAGGGAAAGTCAGTCTTCAGAAAAAGTTGTCTCGGAGAAGAGCCTTTGTTAGTCTGGCTCAGTCAGGTCTAAAGGGGGAGATATCCTGCATATTCTCCAGATAATCAATCCTCTGTGAACATTATTTCTCAAGGGTTGATATTAGGGCTGGCAGCAGTAGTTCTAAAAACGTCACCGGGCCACAGCACGCTGGCATTACTGTTGTAGATTATACCAGATTTCTGGAATTTTAAAATCAACCAAACTGTTGATAAGGCGAAATACTATTATTATGCCCATTTTACATTCGGGGAGACTTGATACTCCGCTTGGTTGAGTAAGGTCAAGGTCAGAACCAAAGTTTATACTCTGGCCTATTTGATGCTGAAGCTTCAAGCCTTCTAAAATTTAGTTCTTGGGGATCCCTGGGTGGCTCCGCGGTTTGGCGCCTGCCTTCGGCCCAGGGCATGATCCTGCAGTCCCGGGATCGAGTCCCACATCAGGTTCCGTGCACGGAAACTGCTTCTCCCTCTGCCTGTGTCTCTGCCTCTCTCTCTCTCTCTCTGTGTGTGTGGGTCTTGTGAATAAATAAATAAAATCTTTAAAAATAAATAAATAAAAGCAATGGTGCCCCCATAAACATAATTTAAAAAAATAAGAAATAAAATTTAGTTCTTGATCTCATTCCCACTTGGTTTGAAAAGTATATATATTGTGGTTAAGAGCAGAGATTGGTTTCGAATCCTGGCTTTATTATTTAGTAGATTTTGTGTTGCTACTTAACCATTCTCTGCTTTCGTTTCCTTAACTGTAAATTGAAGCTTGTGATAATATGTGTCTCATAGAGTTGCTGCGATATTAACTGAGCTTAGAACAATATCTGTCATACAGTCGGTAATCAATGCACTATTCTTCTCTAGCCAGAGCTTCTTACCTCTGTCTTATCTTCAGCAACGGATGTGTAGTAAGCACCTGCTTTGATGCTAAGCTCAGCCCCTGCCCTCAAGCTGCCTTAGTGGGTGGCAGTGGGTGGCAGGGGGCTCAGCCCCTGCCCTCAAGCTGCCTTAGTGACGGCAGGGGCCGTCAACAGCTGGAGTACTGGAACCCTAGTGTGGGTGGTGAGTACTATTAGGGAGGCTGGGGCAGCAGGCTTCGGAGACCGGAATGGCCAATTGCCTGGGGGAGGAGAAGGTGCACAGAGTAACCATGTTTGCTCCGGATCTAGGAGAATGAGTAATGATTTTCCAGGAGAGGCATCATCAGGATGCTGCTGGTGGGTAGTGGCAGGGGAGGTAAAGCCATTTTTTTTAAGATTTTATTTATTTATTCATGAGAGACACAGAGAGTGAGAAGCACAGACACAGGCATAGGGAGAAGCAGGCTCCATGCAGGGAGCCCGACATGGGACTCGATCCTGGGTCTCCAGGATTCTGCCCTAGGCAGAAGGCGGGGCTAAACCGCTGAGCCACCCGGGGTTCCCAGGTAGAGCCATTATGAGCAGTTTATTGGAACAAAGGGTGTTTGGGGCTGGGGATGTAATGGCAGAGATCAGAGATGCTTTTCAACTGGAGGAATGCCTCAGACTGGTGTTTTAAATAGTACTTAGGCCAGCCACGAGGGAGAATGGGAGAGAGGTCAGTAGAATAAGGGAGGCTGGCTAGGCATCTATTGTCTAGAAAGATTCCAACATACCTGGGCACTAGTTCTTTGGGAACCCATGGGCTGAGCCTGCCAGGCTGTGGTGAGGAGCGGGAAGGTTCCATCCTGCGTGGCTAGGCACAGTCTCCTGGGCTTGTTCCATCTGCCTCAGTTTACCCTGTGAGGGACGTAATGCTCAAGAAGAGCCTTGAGGCTGGCCTAAGAAAGAGGAGGATCAGGTCATCTGACCCTGAGCTTTGGAGCCCAACTCAAGAAAGCTGAATAAAATATGTAACTCTTCAGCGCAAACAGTCCACCTGAGAGACAGCTGCTGTGTTACTGATAAGAGCAGGGAGTTCCCTACGTGGCAGCCAGTGCCTGGCCTCACAAAGTTTCACTGGCCCCTCTGGTGGAATTAATATAAGATCAACAAGAGCCTGGGCATGCACCTGCTCCTTTCATTCAGCAGAACTGTTTTGTGACACTGAAGAGTGAGCGAGAACTGTCAGGATAGGTTTCAGACTCACAGTACTCAATAAAGTAGTAAAGTTTCCAAGAAATCCTGCTGTTTGGGAAACGGTCTAGTAAAAAGTTGCTAAATCAAAGAAAAGTAGGAAAAGGAGGGAAAGAAGGAGGTTTCATGGTCAGGGGCCGGAAGTGAGTAGCCAGCACCAGCCCCCATCATCCTAAGCACACCCCCAGCCTGACACCTGGCCTTGGAGCCTCCCTGTCCACTGGACCCAGCGTCTTATGTCCCTGAAGGAGCCTTTGCCACTTCTTGTTGGCTAGCCTGTGTTCCTGACACAGCCTTCCTTCTGCTGGATCTGCCCTGCTCTGATCTGGTATCTTCTCTCTGGCCAAGTAAGCTGAGGCAGCTTCCAGAATGCCCCTGACACAGGGCGTCAGTGAAGGCAAGCCTCGTGACACCTATGTTACTTGGTGGCTTAGACCTGGGGAAGTCCCTCTCCAAGGCTGGCTGTGCAAATACAGCTGTTTATCACCAGCAGCTGGTGGCGGTGGGTCTTTTCCCTCATGCCTTTCGTTTCTTTCCAAAGCGCCAAGCATACAGCCAAACATAGAGGAATGGTCTCACGAAAGCCATTCAGAATGGAAATGTTTGCCTTGGAACACTAGCATCTTTGTGGGAGAGCCTCTTCTTTGCTTCCAGGGGGAGCCCTCTGCTGGCAGTGGGGGCCCTGTGGTGGTGGCTGGGCTCCAAGGTGAAGGTTGAACCCCAGGACGTGTGATGAGGAGCCAAGGGAGGGAAGGAAAGCTCCTTCTGCTTCTGCATTTCCATGTTCTACACCCCCATGGGCACATGCTTCTGAGGTGCTTCCTTTCTGTTCCACAGACACCTGTGAGATTTCCTGGCCAACATATCAGTTCTCCCTCCGGACACAGGCAGGGAAGTCCTGGTGGCCTTGGCAACAGCATCACTTTGGAGCTCAGACGGAAAATGGCAAGAGGAACTCTAAGAAATGACTGCTGCTTCTTGGCTTCGCTTTTGTGCCTAGCATCCTGAGCCAGTTAGATCATCTACTTCCTACCCCAGGACGCAGAGCACTGCTCTGACACTCTGGAAAGCCCTGTGGAATGTAGAAGGGTAATAACGACACGCACCTACACAGCGCATGGAGGCTGCGGAGGACCTGTCATTGCAAGGTTTTTCTCATTCCCCACACTGCTCCCTGAGGTATCGTCGCCTCCGTTTTAAGAGTGAGGAAAGGGGCCTGGAGAGGCCAGTGGCTTGCCCAATTCCACATCAACAGAGCAGCCTTTGTGCTTCTGGTTCAATGTTCTTTCTTTACAGGCTGTACCACGTGGGGGTCTGGAGGGGCGGGACTGTCTCATGCTCTCGGGACACACAGGTCTTCGCAGTGGTGTCCCTCTCTCCTTACCTCCCGGACGGAGCAACACAGGCTTGCTGCCCTGTTGGCATAAGGCTCCCTGGGCTTGAGTTTGAGGTGAGGAGATTCAAGGCAGCCAACTTTTTTGGAAAAGATTTTATTTATTTATCCATGAGAGACACAAAGAGAGAGGCAGAGACAAAGGCAGAGGGAGAAGCAGGCTCCCTGCAGGGAGCCCAGTGCGAGTCTTGATCCCAGGACACCAGGACCACACCCTGAGCCCAAGGCAGATGCTCAACCACTGAGCCACCCAGGTGCCCCAAGGCAGCCATTATAAATGTTGTCGTTGGTCTTGAGGAAGGGTACACAAAGGCTGTGGTATTCTAGGCACAGGACAAGATGGAGTATGGGGCAGGAGAAGTGGAGAGGCATGGTGGGGGGCTATCCTTGCTTTGGGGAGTTTAAGTAGCTCCTGTTCTGAAGGGTGCCTGGGAAAGTGTGCATGAAGAATAAAAACCTAAAAGTAAACAGTTGTTCCATTTGTACAGTTAAGAACTTGGAGAGGGGCAAGTTCTGGTTTTTCAACATAGTTTCAGGTCAAGTACAACTATAACTCTCATTACTGCCCCCAGGTTACATTCCATTCCATGGCTCCCTTTGCCCTAGAACAAAGCTCTGGCTTTCAGACTTCCTAAGGCCACCACAATTAATGTCTTCTGTTTGCAGTTTACCCCTTCTGTTTAAATTTGGGGGCTCCTTCTGGCAGGCCCTTCTCTTGGCTTAGATTCAACTCATGTTTACTGGCATGGTGTTGGCAGTTTTCACCTACATGACCACATGAAATTCTCCCAGTCAGCCCATAAGACTGGTTTCCTCTCTCAGTTTCAGAGATGAGAAAATTAAGTTTTCAAGTGGTTAAGTCATTTGTCCCACGTCACCAGGCAGCAAGTGGTGCCCTCTGTGCAAGCCACACGCTGACATGTGTAGACACAACATAGGCCCATCTAGGGTAAGAAACTTTCCTAACTTACTCAAAGCATTCTCAATTGTCTTATGTTCCTGTCACAGCCACCCCACAGCCTCAGCCATACCTTTCAAGTTATTCAATTATTCATATGGCTGGATTTTACCAATCTAGGTCTTTTTTTTAAGGGCTAACCTTCCCCCATGTCCCTCCTCATCCTCTCAGGACAGGGAGTTTCATCACAGACTATGATGGCTCTCTGAGGCACTGTGAAGAATAGTCTATTCCCTCTGCCTGAAACATGCACCACCTATTCCTACTCTAGTGGATGGAGGTAAGTATAGATTTTGTTTATTCAACACGTTTTCTTATCCCCAGTTTTATGGTAACAGTGTTCTTCCTTTTTTTCCCCTTCGGGGAACATCCTCCCCCAGATTAATCTTCAACTGTCCAGCATGATTCTCCTCCATACCCTGGCAACAGAGGAGAGATGTGTGACTAAGATTTGGCCAATCATGGGACCCGATTCCTGTGATCATCATGATTGGTCCAAGGCTGAATGTGTGACTGATCCAAGGATTACAATTGTTTCCTCTTCAAGCAATGATGCAATGAATATTCTGTGCTGGGACTGATATTTGCTTTCATTTGTTCAATCATTCCCATGGGATAGTTGCTGAGTCATATGTAGGTATGTTTTAAATGTTGGCATGTTTTGTGAGGTTGCTCTCCAGAAAGGTTGGCCCAAATTTACACCATCCCAGCAATATGGGAGAGTTGGTTCTACACACCCCAGCAACACCTGGTGGTGTCAATCTTTAATGATTTGCCCTTCTGAGAAGTGAGGACAGCTGTTGAAATGGGTTCCCAATCCTGGGCCTCCTTTTGGGTCATGTTCCCACATGCCTGTCCCTAAAGTTACCTACCCCTGGCCTTGCTCCTCAATCTCTTGCCTGGTCCGTCTTCCAACTTTGTTGGTCTCCTTGTATCCTGTTCTCACTCTACTAGACTGGAAAAAAAAGAGTCTTTACCTTATACACCTCCCTTTTTCCCTTAGCTCCTTGCAGGTGCTGCTAAGAACAGTTTGAAACCCAATAATTGTTTTTTGAATGAATGAATGAACAAAAGATGAGTGAATGAAAACTCTTCTAATCCACCTGTTTCTTGTGCAGTTCTGAGTGGTGCCAGGTAGTTGGGTCAGTGTTCCCCTGAATAGATAAATGCCCAAGAACCTCAGGCTTTGAGAAGCCAAACGCACACATTGATTCTATCTCTGAACTATGATGACTTATTTTCCCATGAGCTCCTATGTCCAGTCAGATCCCTCCATTCCTAAGTGGCACATTTAGTTCAAGGAAGTGTCAAACTCCCTTCAGAGCATTTCTACCACCCCAATCAATCTATGTATACTGCAGGATCGAGGCCAATTTTCCATTTCTGTGCCCCTGAGTGCTGATTGTATGTGGAATCTGGAAAAATAATTAGCATTTGTTGAGTGCTCACTATTCGCCAGACTTTGTGCTAGGCATTTTAAATACTTCATTAGTAACATTCTTCATGGTCCCGTGATATCCACAGGCTCTTTCTTCTAAAGGAAATTTCCACTGCAGTCATTCCCAAAGGGGAGGTGGGGTGCAGGAATTGTTTGGCTGCCATGCTTTATACCTCAACTTTTGTTCATTGGTCAAGTATTGTCTTTAAAATTTAAGTCTTCCACATTTCTAATTAGATCCATCTTTGGCTATTTAATCTTTCTGCATGGAGTATATGGGATTCTCTTTCTGTGATGTGAAATTGGCTATTGTTTGTTTATTAGAAGATGGTTTTTGTATGTTGATTTTGTTTTTGGCCACTTTTCTAAACCCTTTCACTTTTATTCATTTTTAAGTGTATTTTCTTTGATTTTCTAGGTAGACAATATTTTCTAAGTATTAAGTCTTATAATGGACAGGAAAATGATATTTTAACAGTGTCTGGAGATGTAATTCACATACAATACAATTTACCCATTTAAAGGGCACAAGTTGATGTTTTGGGGGCATATTCACAGTTGTTCAACCATCATCACGATTAATTTTAAAACAATAAACAGCAATCTTTAAATTCTTTTTTTTTCTTCCTATTTGGTTAGGATGCCAGTAAACTGGTTAGCAGTAATAGTGATGGTGGGTAACTTAGTCTCATTCCAAATGTTCTAGAATGTCTGATTTTTCACCATTAAATAGGATGTTTGCTAACAGTTTTTGGCAGCTAGACTTTATCAAGGTAAGAAAGTTTCTTTCTACCTCGAGCTTGCCAAAATTCTATGTTCTTATTTAGAAACAGGCACAAATTTTATTAAATCCATTTATCAAGGCATTTATTGTGATGGGAATAATCTTTTCTGCTTTTTAATCTATTAATGTAGCCAATTAATAGATTATTTGCCTCATTCATTTAGAGTGTTGGGCCTTTAATTTTTTAGTGTAATTAGCTCATAGTTTTCCTTCCTTCTTCGTTGATTTCTTTCCTTTTCTAATGCACTGTGGTGAGCCAAGGTCACACTTTTCTCGAGTTGTTTTCAAGGACTGAGTAGCAAGGCTGAGGAAGGTACATGCCTAGCTATTTCTACTAGTGTGGGACTCCTCTAATAGGCAGTCCCTGCTCAAGAGCTTCTCATTGGCTCGGCAAAGACTTGGTCAGATCTGCATCCTGGTCTGACGACTACCCCACCCAAACTGGATGCCTCCTTTTTTCTAGCACAGGTGTTTTCACCCAAAAAAAACTGTGCTCCTAACTCTAGTTGGCTTCCCAGAACCCCCCCCCCCCCCCCCCGCACTAGACACACAGGCTATCTTTCCAGCTTGGCGTCTAGACTTACGTTTCCTACACTCTGGAAGAATTTATGTACCATAGAGATAATCAGGTCCTTGAAAATCAGATGTAATTCACCAATAAAAACCATCTAAGCCTGGTTTGGGCTCACGGAAAGAACTTTGACCACAGTTCTAATTTATTCTGTGTTTATTGGACTATTCAGGTTTTCCATCTCCTCTTAGACACATTTTAGTGATTTGCATCTTTCTAGAAAATTCTGCATTTTGACCTAGGTTTAAATTTTTTTTATGAACATTAATTTCTTTTTAGTAATTTTTAGAGTGCTTTAAAATCTCAGTAGTTGTGTTTCCTTTTTCGTTTCAAATGTGAATATTCTTTAAATTTTTATTCATATATTTTATTTATGTGATTTAGTTAGATTTGTCTATGGTGGGCAGCCTGGGTGGCTCAGCGGTTTAGCGCCACCTTCAGCCCCAGGCCTGATCCTAGAGACCAGGGATCAAGTCCCACATCAGGCTCCCTGCATGTAGCCTACTTCTCTCTCTGCTTCTCTCTCTGTGTGTCTCATGAATAAAAAAATAAATAAAAATCTAAAAAAAAAAAAAAGGGATTTGTCTTTGGTAATATGGTTTTTTCAAGAACAAGATTTTGTTTATTAATTAAGTGTATTTTTGATATGAATATTCCACCTAGTTAAATTCTGCTAATTTTTATATTCCATCCACCTAGTTTCTTTGGGTTTATTTTGTGGATCTTTCATTCCAGCCTCTTGATTTTAATGATTCCTTCATTTATTCTGAATTCTTCTCATTTTTAATAAATTTCCCCTGAGTCCACTTGGATCAGGTCCCATAAGCCCCTGAAAACAAAGGCTCATTTAGGTTTATTTCTAGTTTATAATCTCTCTCTCTCTCTCTTTTTAACACAAGAGCTACTTTAAAAGAGGCTTTAAAATTTCCAGTGAAAAGATTTTTTATTTTGCTACTTCTTGTGCTTTGTTTTGCTTTTTAATTTCTAATTTTATTGCAGAGTGACCAAGTAATAAGATTTGTGTGCTCTTTGGAATTTATTGGCATTCTTTTTGTGGTCAAATACATGGTTAGTTTGTAGAAGGGCCATGGGTGTCTGGAAAAAATGAGTACTCTCTTCATTGGATACATTTTATTTATATATATTAGATATATTTCAGAACTCTATGGCAAATTGTATTGAAGCATATGACTATCTTTTTAGTGGACTGTAGCTTTTATCAAAATGAACAAATCCATGTTTGCTGGGATGCTTTTTATTTTATTTTTTTTAATTGTAGTAAAAGACACATAACATAAATTTTCCATTTTCACCATTTCCAAGTGTGCAGTGCAGTGGCATTAGGTACGTCACATTGGTTGTACAACCATCATCACCATGACCCACAGAACTCTTTTCATCTTGCAAAACTGAAACTCTGTACACATTATGTAACAATTCCCCACTCCTCTCCCCTCACACCGCCAGGCAATCACCATTCTACTTTGTGTCTCCGAATCTGACTATTCTAGGATCCTCTAGAATCATACAGTATTCATCCCTTTGGACTGGTTTATTTCACTTACATAATGTCCTCAAGGTTCATCTATGTTATTGCATGTGACTGAATTTCCTTCCCTTTCGAGGCTGAATCCTATTCCGCTGTATGTACAGACCACCTTTTGTTGTTTATCAAATCATCGGCTGATGGACACTAGAGCTGCTTTCCCATTAGCTACTGTGAATAATGCTGTTATGAACATGGGTGTACAAATATCTCTTTGAGTCCCTGCTTTCAATTCTTTGGGGTAGAAGTGGAATTGCTGGATCTTGTGGTAATCCTATTTTTAATTTTCTGAGAAACCATCATCCTTCTCTCTATAGTGGCTGCACTGTTTTACATTCCCACTAACAGTGTACAAGGGTTCCAATTTCTTCATATCTTTGCCAACACTTGTTTTCTATTTTTCTGTGTTTTGTTCATAGTAGCCATCCTAATAGGTGTGATGTTTTTTAAATGATTGTTTTTGTTTTCTTAGTTATTATGCAACATAAGATACCTGTTTGGGTAGTACCTCTTTCCCTCTGCCTTTATTTATATTTTTTCTTCAAGTTTTCATTTAAATTCCAGTCAGTTAAAATACTACAATATTGGTTTCAGGAGTAGAATTCAGTGATTCATCGTTTACATATAGCACCCAGTGCTCATCACAAGTGCCCTCCTTAATCTCCACACTCATCTCACCCATCGTCCTGCCCACCTCACCCTTCCAACCTTTAATTTGTTGTCAAGAGTTAAGAGTCCATTTTATGGTTTGCCTCTTTCTCTCTCTTTTCCCCCGTGTTCATTTGTTTTGTTTTTTTTTTCTACCTTTTTTGCAAACTTTCTGCATAGTTTTCTTCTATATATACCTTTTGGACATCGGATATAGCTTTATTTTTTTCTTTTTATTAACCTAAACTGAAAATCTAGGTCTTATAATTGGCTAATTTAGCCTTTCCATGGGCACACTGATTACTTATACAATCAGATTTATCCTTATCATGTTGTTTGTATGTTCTCCATCATACTTTCTTCCTTTTTTTCTATTTTTTCTTCAGCTGATCAGTTTTTATTTATTTCATTGCTTTTCTTATTGTGCGCTGGAAATTATACATCCTATGTCTATTCTTTTAGTGGTTACCATTAAATTTTTAAGACATACTAAAACATAATTTTCTAAAGCATTTTGAATTCATCTATATCAAAAGTTAGCAAACTATGGCCTGTGTGCCACATCCAATCCATCATCCGCCTTTGTACATCCTGCAGGTAAGAATAATTTTTATGTTTTTAAGTAGTTGAAAAAAATCAAAAGAAGAATA